CAGTGCGAGCTTCTCAAGACAGAGACTAAGCCAGTATTAGGAAGTCTCTGCCTGTTCTAACACTGGCTGGAAGCACCTGCTTTCTGTCTTGTCTATTTGGGGCTGTTACCACTGCCTGAAAGGAACCAGAGATGGGTTCCTGGGAAGGACCTTGGGGCAGTTCAGAAGGAGGTACCCACTGTATCAACACAAACTTCAACCTAGTGTGGACTCTCCAGTGTCCTGATATGAGTTTTCAAGCCCCCCACCACCACCACTAACCATGGCATTCCCTCATCTCCTAAACTTGACTTGACTTTTTTAGTTGATAGCTAGTCATATAATCTTGCAATGGCGTCCCCTGTGGACTTACAATGCTGTGTAATAATTGACTTACCATACCTCTTCTTTGAAGCTAACTTGTAAATGTCCTAAGCACAGGGAGGAAGCACAGGAGGAAGACTCAGATTGGCTTGGGTCTAATCCCAACTCTTCACTTACCAGCTCTGTGATCCTGGATAAATCCCTTCACCTCCTTGCTTCTCAGTTTACTTGTCTGCAAAATAGAGGCAATTGCGTCTGTCTTTCAGGGTATTACAAGAGCCAGTTATCACAGTGCTGGATGCTAGGAGACGCTTGGTGAATAGTAACTAGGACTCACTAGACAAAGCGTTGCACACAGAAACAGAAAAACTTTGCAGAATTGAGTATGACAAAGCAGGACTTAAGTTAACGTGAGAAAAGGGCTCGTTATGGGCCCTTGAACTTTCATGGTGAGGGCACCACTTCCTCTGCTTGAATGACAGTTTATAAACCAGTTATTCATGACTCTGTCATGACCTATGATAATCATTTCAAGATCACCATGTTTCATAAACCCAAAGGGTCAGTGATCTGAGGAGTGTCATTGATTTGTGATATGTGGAATTTTCTCACTGGTATCCATGCTCCAACTCACACACCTAAGCATCAGCCCTTTCCTGAGCCAGTGCTTTCTCCAGCTACTTGGACTAGGTGGTACACAGTGACTCCTAGTACTGCTCCCAGATGTAAAGGTCCCATGGGTGTCCCTGGCTTCTTCAGAAGTTTCCTTGAAGAGAGGCCACAGTGAGGGATAGTAGCAAGGCTCACTGAGACCAGCAGCATCAAAAGAATGGGCAGCAGGCTCGGCGCCTGTGGCTCAAGCGGCTAAGGTGGCAGGTTCAAATCCAGCCCGGACCCGCCAAACAACAATAATGGCTGCAACCAAAAAATAGCCGGGTGTTGTGGCAGGCGCCTGTGGTCCCAGCTACTTGGGAGGTGGAGGCAGGAGACTCACTTGAGCCCAGGAGTTGGAGGTTGCTGTGAGCAGTAAAGCCATAGCACTCTATCCAGGGGGACAGCTTGAGGCTCTGTCTCAAAAAAATAAAATAAAATAAATAAAAAAATAACGGGCAGCAGTTCCTGTCCGGGGGCAATAGGTCCAGAGTGACGAACATTCCCCTGACCCCAGCCCTAGTGCCCCCCTTCAAAAAAAGAAGAAATAGGCCAGACTCAGTAGCTCACACCTGTAGGGAGGCTAAGGCAGATGAATTGCTCAAGTTCAGGAGTTCAAGAACAGCCTGAGCAAGAGCAAGACCTGGTCTGTACTAAAAATAGAAAAATCCGCTGGGAGTCATGTCAATCATGTGTAGTTCCAACTACTCAGAAGGCTGAAACAGGAGGATCATTAAGCCCAGGAATTTGAGGTTGCTGTGAGCTGTGATGCCATAGCACTCTAGCCTGGATGACAGAGTGAGATGCTAGCTCAAAGAAAAAGAAAAAGGCTCAGCACCTGTGGCTCAAGTGGCTAAGGTGCTAGCCACATACACCCAAGGTGGCAGGTTCAAATCCAGCCCGGACCCGCCAAACAACAATGATGGCTGCAGCCAAAAAATAGCCAGGCACTGTGGCGGGCGCCTGTGGTCCCAGCTACTTGGGAGGCGGAGGCAGGAGACTCGCTTGAGCCCAGGAGTTGGAAGTTGCTGTGAGCTGTGATGCCACAGCACTCTACCCAGGGGGACAGCTTGAGGCTCTGTCTCAAAAGGAAAAAAAAGACAAGAAGGAAGGAGAAGGGAAGGGAAGGAAAAAGAAAAGATGATAAGGATGAGAGTATGAAAAGTATAAACAGCCTTAAGATCAGTTTCTCACATTTCCCATACAAGTGAGCGTAACTGCCGAAACTCAAGACGTATCCTGTGTTCTCACTCAGCAGTTGGCACGCTGCCCAGGAGCACAGCAGCTCTATGAGGGGTGGACCCTGCCTCGATGCGCCCATCTCCCTCTCTGTGGGGAGGTCAGTCTTGTGGCATTCTTACCACCTTCTTCAGCTACCTATAAGTATGCATTTCCTTGGTTCTCTTAAATGTTCCTGGGAGAATATACATAAAATAGATATAGTAGGTACTACTGGCTGAATCTGTCATGCCAGCTCAGCATGACACAGAAGAATAGGTTAGATGAGCTCCTTTTCTCTGGCCCTAAGGGACAAAACAAAAAAAGTTTCTCGCTTGCCTGCCTGTGCTCAGCTGATTGGTTTAGTCCACTGGTTTATACAATGCCTTGCTCCAAAAGTCACTTGAGACAGCACCTGTAAACAGCCCATGTGGGCACCTTCCGCGCATGGTAGTGTGTTAAGGGTACAGTTAGACTTACGACGTATCAGTAACATACATAATATTACAAGTTTTTATCAAGTATCTACCCTATCACAGGTAGATACAGAGAAACCAGTCCAGGGTCAGGCTCAGTGACTCACACCTATAATCCTAGCACTCTGGGAGGCTGAGGCAGGAGGATTACTTGAGCTCAGGAGTTCCAGACCAGCCTGAGCAAAAGCAACAATCCATCTCTACAAAAAGTAGAAAAATTATCCAGGCACAGTGCTGTATGCCTGTAGTCCTGGGAAAGCTGAGGCAGGAGGATCTCATGGGCCCACCCAGGAGCCTGAAGTTGCAGTGAGCTGTGATGATGCCAATGTGATGATGTAGTCGGGGCAACAGAGTGAGACTCTGTCTCCAAAAAAAGAAACCATCTCTGATCTGAAGAAGCTTCCTATCTTATGGTAGAAATAAACACAATTAAGTATTATATAACGGAAGGGAGCAGCAGTGATTGCCTGTGTAGAACTAAATGTAGGTCTAGCAGTCAGGATTCTTTGTTCATTTTGTTTTTTAACCAAATATCTCTGGTCAGGCACTATGCCTGGTTATATTTGGTTAAAATATTAGACAGAATTTTTTATTTTTGAATTTTATTTAAGTACTTCAAAAATATTATCAGTTTAAAAATCCCATTCAGTTACATGTCTTAAGAAATTTCTGGAAAGAATGCAGTGATATAAAATCAGTACTGCCCTGGAGAATCCAGGATGTTTCATCATCTTAGCTGTGGGAGCTGAGAGTGCAGTGTCATTTGTATTCTCTAAAAGGATTGTGGCCAGCACAGTGGCTCAGGGCTGTAATCCTAGCACTCTAGGAGGCCACAGCAGAAGGATTTTGGGAGTTTGAGCCCCAGCAAGCCAGGTGTGGTGGACATCTGTAGTTCCAGCTACTCCGAAGGCTCAGGCAAGAGGATCTCTTGAGCCCAAGAACCTGAGATTGCTGTGAGCTATGGCGACCCCACAGCACTCTATCCAGGGCTACAGAGTGAGACTCTGTCTCAAAAAAATAAATATTTTACAAAATAAGAATAAAAGGATTGGCGAGGGTTCCCAAAGAAGTTAATATCCGAGTTTCATCTTGAACAACAGACTTGAGTCCTTGCAAGAGCTGCGGCTCTGTGTGCTACCGTGAATGCCCAGAGCAGTCAGCTACAAAGCTTTCCTGGCACTCATTCCCCCAGCTAAAATTTTTTGATCATTGTTACCACAGCTTCCAGCAGGGGTCCCCTGATTGCTGCTTTCATTTGATCTGTGCACGGTGATTCATAGATCCACCTCCCCTTCCTCCTGGGTCAGCAGTGCTTGCCAGAGCCTAGAGGATGGATGGCTTTCTGAGAGGGTAAGGAAGCCTACCCAGAACAGCAAGTTTAATCCATTTCCGTCTGGAAAAACCAATGGCTTCAGGCAGCATGTTTTTAATTGTTCAAGGCATTGTGTGTGCTCACGTGTGTGTGGGAGCTGTGTGTAAATAGTGCGTTTTCAATCTGTGTTAATATACCATGGAAAAGCAGCAAATGACATTAGCCCTAAAGATTTACCAGGAAAAAGACAGCTGCGTGGCAAAGCTGCTGCCAGTAATTAGAGAAGAACCAGCCCGCGTGCGCTGCCACTCAGCAGCTTCAGCCATTTAAATGGCAGCCAGATTGTTTAGCTCTGTAACCCCCCCCCCGTTCATTGTGGGCCGGCAGCTAATTTCTTGTTGAGAACATTGCTCTTGCTTGTATCAGCTCTGGTAGGTATCATTGGAAGATCAGGTCTGACGCGGGGCCTGCAAGTCTCAAGTAGCAACCAGCGTGGGTTAGCAAAGCACTTGTTTCTAATGCTCTTTTCGCATTATAAATGAACGAGGGAAAACTATTTTTGCAACCCCATGAACTCTGAATCTTTAAGAGGGCCATATGACCACTGTTGTGGGTGACAAAAAGAACAATAACCCCACCTCTAGCTCAAGTGAGCTGCTGGCCATAGCAGCCCCCTATGTGGAACGGCTCTCCATTCAGGACTGGTTGGGAGGGAAATTAACAGGCTTCCCATTGTCACTGTGCATTTTTGCCAGGATGTTTCACTAGCGTAAACACTGGACCGGTTGTCACGCCCTTCAGCCACTTGACCCGGGTGATTTCCGATTCAGCTTGGCCTGTGTTGAGGCGCCAGAGTGCGTGCACGAGGCAGGCGCTCATTACGGGAAGCAGCGTCGCTGCTGAGCCGATACAAGATTAACTGCCCCTCCGCGGCCTTTATTCTGGGACCTTAGCTCTGTCTGGTCATCTTGCTTCAGCTGAGGGATTTGGGACGATGGCTGTGCTGATGGTAACGCTGGGATTTCCCGTCTGTGTTGCAGGTCACTGCCAGGGGCTTCGGGCCGCTGCTGCAGTTCGCCTACACGGCCAAGCTGCTGCTCAGCAGGGACAACATCCGCGAGGTCATCCGCTGCGCGGAGCTGCTGCGCATGCACAACCTGGAGGACTCGTGCTTCCGCTTCCTGCAGACGCAGCTGCTGAGCGGCGAGGATGGCCTGTGCGTGTGCCGCAAGGACGGCAGCCAGCGCCCGCGCAGCGCAGAGGACTCCGCAGGGGAGGACGAGGACGACGAGGAGGCCATGGAGGCCGAGGCGGCCAGGACAGCGTGCCCTACCGGTCCGACGCTTCCAGACCCCATCGGCTTGGAGGCTGCCGCCCTCCCGGTGGCGGACAAGGGGGAGGCCTTGCTGCCCGAGACCAGCGTGCCCAAAGACAGCTCGGAAAAGGACGCGCTGACACAGTACCCCAGGTACAAGAAGTACCAGCTGGCATGCACCAAGAATGTCTACAGCGCGGCGTCGCACAGCGGTTCAGGGTTTGCAGGCGCGTTCAGTGAAGAGAGCTCCAGCGGCGGCCTCCAGCCAGGGCTGGCCAGGGGGCAGATTAAGAGTGAGCCGCCCAGTGAAGAGAACGAGGAGGACAGCGTCACACTCTGCCTGTCCGGAGATGAGCCCGACGCCAAGGACAGAGCTGGAGACGTAGAGATGGACCCGAAGCAGCCCAGCCCCGTGCCCGGGCCTGCTGCTCCTCCCGGGGCTGCCTGCCTGGAGCGGGCCAGGAGCCTGTCCTCGCCCTCCTGCTTGAGGTCTCTGTTTAGCATCACAAAAGGTGTGGAGCTGTCTGGCCTGCCTGGTACATCTCAGCAGCACTTTGCCAGGAGTCCGGCGTGCCCTTTTGACAAGGGGATCTCTCAGGGTGACCTTAGAACTGACTGCACCCCTTTCACAGGGAATTATGGACAGCCCCATGTGGGACAGAAGGACGTGTCCAGCTTCACCATGGGGTCGCCCCTGAGGGGGCCCGGGTTGGAGGCACTCTGTAAACAGGAGGGTGAGCTGGACCGGAGGAGTGTCATCTTCTCCTCCAGTACTTGTGACCAAGTGAGCACCTCGGTGCATTCGTATTCGGGGGTGAGCAATTTGGACAAAGACCTCTCTGAGCCGGTGCCAAAGGGCCTGTGGGTGGGAGCTGGCCAGTCTCTCCCTGCCTCACAGGCCTACTCCCACGGGGGGCTGATGGCTGACCACTTACCAGGAAGGATGCGGCCCAACACCAGCTGCCCAGTGCCAATCAAAGTCTGCCCACGCTCACCCCCCTTGGAGACCAGGACCAGGACCTCCAGTTCCTGTTCCTCCTACTCCTACGCAGAGGATGGGAGCGGGGGCTCCCCCTGCAGCCTCCCTCTCTGTGAGTTCTCCTCCTCGCCCTGTTCCCAGGGAGCCAAGTTCCTTGCCACAGAACATCAGGAACCAGGCCTGATGGGAGACGGGATGTACAACCCAGTCCGACCCCAAATTAAATGTGAGCAGTCTTACGGAACCAACTCCAGCGACGAGTCGGGATCGTTCTCGGAAGCAGACAGTGAGTCGTGTCCTGTGCAGGACAGGGGCCAGGAGGTAGGGAACCCACATAAACCCAAGCACGTGCCCCCTCTCTCGGTCCTTTATCTGGACTTCGCTCTGCCCGCCTCCCACCACTCCTAGATTGTTCTTATTTGCCAAGATGAAGGGTGACAGGGAAGGGCCCTCCACCTCCCCCATTAAGGAGGGCATGCTGCAGAGGGATTCCAAAGCAACCACTTTGATCCTAGAAGGCACGTGATGGGTGACCCAGATTTCAGAGGCAAGTTGCTTAGTGAAAAAAAACTGATGCCTGATGATGGAGTGGGCGTGAGTCCTTCAGTCACCCCTTTCTGCCCACCCTCCCATCCTCTATCCAGTGTGAAATGATGCTATTCATTGCCGTCATCCTGTCCATCACCCCTTTGGTACGAAGGAAGATGGAGAATCTATTCCAAGATTGATTGATTAAAACTAAATAGATGGACACACAGAGGGGCTTTCCCAGCACCTTTTAAATTTTCCTTGTCAATAGAAGACCCAGGGCCACCCCATGCCCATCACGTGCAGATGATAGAAAGCTGGCTGTTCACCCTGGCCCCAGGGTCATCACAGAAGCACCCCAGCTGGCCACACATAACAAGTAACAGATCATCTCCTGAGTTTTCCAAAGGATAGGAAGTCACTCTGGGGAGTACTGGGTGGAGTAGCCGTTTTGTCCACCTGAAACAAAGTGCTTTATAGAAGAAATTTTCAGAGGCTCTATCTTTGTCTCACCCATGCTGGGTGAGGGGGATGGGGCAGCAGTGGCCACATCCAGGAGTAAAACTCATGTGACTGAGGAGAGGGAAGAATAGGATCCCCCACAGGCCCAGGCCCCTAGATCCCTAGGAGTGTGAGAGTTCCCTAGAGAGACCTGAGGGAGGCTGTGTTGAGACCTGGCACTTTCTACGCTGTCTCGCGGGTTGACAAGGAGCCAGCCTGAGACTGCCACCTGTGTCTCAGACTCCTCAGGAGCAGAGCACAAGCCCAGTGGCAAGTCCCTCCTCAGCCCTATAGCCACAGAGCACAAGAAGAAATGCAGCCTGGTCCCATCAGCCCACTCCTCGTGCCTGCTGCGCTCCCACATGTAAGCCCCTGTGAGGCAGACAGTGGTAACCTGACCAGACAACTGAAAGGCCACGTGAGGCCAGGTGGCTGTGCACAGAGCCATGTGTTGTTTATTCAGCCTCTGCAGGATCCACAAGAAGTACATGAGGTTTTAGTTGGAGCATGTTTTGAAAATAGATACCCGGCTCGGCGCCTGTGGCTCAAGTGGCTAAGGCGCCAGCCACATACACCTAAGGTGGCGGGTTCGAATCCCCAGCCCGGGCCCACCAAACAACAATGATGGCTGCAACCAAAAAATGGCTGGGTGTCGTGGCGGGCGCCTGTAGTCCCAGCTACTTGGGAGGCTGAGGCAGGAGACTCGCTTGAGCCCAGGAGTTGGAGGTTGCTGTGAGCGTGATGCCATGGCACTCTACCCAGGGGGACAGCTTGAGGCTCCGTCTCAAAAAAAAAAAAAAGAAAAAAAGAAAATAGATACCCAAGTTCCCTGTGCCAGCTGCAAAAATGCCCTGTGCTCACTGTCCCTTCCCTGTTAGCCTGCTGGTTCCTCTTCCGTTAACTGCCTTGCAGAAATGGAGAAAAGCAGAAAAACATGGAAAGAATCTGGCTATAAGGAATAATAAAGGAAATTTGAATGGAAGCTCTTCCCCTCTGAGTCCACCATATCCCTCAGGTTTGAGATGAAAGGTTGTGCACAGTCCCCCAGCCAGACTCCCACCTGTGTCCCTGGCCTTAGAGAATGGAGGTGAAAGATTGTCCACTCTTTCTCCTTACTCGTCCCTTCCCTCTGACCACAACTTTTGTGAGGTTTGCTTTTTGTCCCTGAAATTGTTAATAAGTGTTCTTGATGCAGACAGCTGGTCACAGGGCCCAGAAGGCTGGTATCACAAGGCGTGGTGACTTGTGTTACCAAAGACCAGTGTGGTGAGAACAGGGCAGATGCCTTGAATTGTTTGTGTCTCCTTTAAGAGGAATCCACCCATTCACCTTGACAGGTTGTGTTTTTGTGATTATTTGCATATGTTCAAGGCACTGTTAACTCCAGATACATCATCTTTTGTCCATCTGATATCCCAAAAGACAGTTGAAAGTCATTTCTTAGAACTCAGTGTCACAAGAAGAACACATGTGTTGGGGCCGTATCAGTTACCCAGCTTAGAACTGAAAAAAGTGACTCAATTGAAAGGATTACTCATCTAACTTATCTTAATAGTCAAGACCAGGCCAAGTCTCCTCCTCAAGAAATACCCATTTAAGACCAGGTGTGGTGGCTCATGCCTATAATCCCAGCATTCTGGGAAGCTGAAGTTGGAGGATCCCTTGAGCTCAGAAGTTCAAGACCAGCCTGAGCAAGAGCAAAACCCCATCTCTACTAAAAACAGAAAAACTAGCCAAGTGTAATGGTGAGAGTCTGTAGTAGCTGAGTCCCCGCTACTAGGAAGGCTGAGGCAAAAGAATATC